CAGGAGGCCACATGCTCACTGTATGCTTTCATTATGTGGAACAGAGCAGCATGAACGTTCAGCTAAACATCTCCTTTCATGTTCCACGTTAGACAGAGAATCACACAGGTTTGAAACAAGCGCAGGATTCTGGTTTTTGAGTGAACTATTCCTTTAAAGCATGTTTCTCTCCTACACTCGTTTCTTTCGTTCTCTCCCTCCTCTTTTTTCACACAACCCCTCCTCGTTCTGTCTCTCTCTGAATGTCGCTGCGGAGAGAGAGATAGAGCGAGAGAGAGCGAGACAGGCAGATGGATGCTCTGAAGAGGTAGCAGACAGACTGTTGAGCAGAATGCTTTCATATACAGTATATATCATCTGTATGTATGTGTGTGTGTGTGTGGCTACAGTCTGGTCGTTTATTGTAAATCAAATCCCTCTCTCTCTTACAGTGCGTGTATATATATGTGTCTATACGTGTGCATATGAGTCGTGAATGTGGCTTTCATTGTACATACGGTACATGTGTGTGTTTTAGTGTTGTCAATGAGTTCATGTGACATGTATGTGTGTTTTTGAGTCATTGAAAGGGTATGAGTCACTATGGGTGTATATATGTATGTGTGTGTGTGTGTGTGTGTGTGTGAAACACACAGTACATCATAGAAAGTTGTGATGCTGCGGGGTTGATCAAATACAGGATGAACGTGTGTGAGTCTTGCTGGTGTATCGTCATTTATGCATCACTATCTTTCCCGCTGTCATTCCTACACTGATGAGATATGTAATGCCGTTGGGAACGGCGTTTAAGTAGGAAAATGCTGCTGCCGGGTTGGATTAAAATTCAAGACAGATCAACTTCTAGAAAATGGGCAAACTTCTCATGTGAGGATTTTGTAATGGAAAATCATAATTGCAATAAAAAAGGAAAACGTTCAGCTCAAGTTAAAAGTGTTAAATTATAATCTTCAAAACCGAACTTATTTTGGTTTTCCATCGCTGATAATGTGAATATTAATTTGTTTGCATGTTGTGATTCTCACAAATATGGCATGAATATGTGGATTTTAAATTGCTACATTTTTACAGTTTTCTTATTTTTTTAAGTTTCCCTTTGTAGTAGGTTTTGGTTTGGGTTCATTTAAAATTTGCTTTATATAAGTGTTTTATTTAAGTGAGTATGTGTTACATCAATATAGTATTTATGTGTTTATGTGATCGCATGTATGCATTTAAACGGTTGGTTGCTCAGTCCGAACTCTTTGTCATTTATGCCTCACAGTATTTTCTGCTGTTATTCCTGTACAGATGCAATGTGTTGATGCTGTTGCGAACCGCATTTAAGTAGGAAAATGCTGCTGTCTGCTTGGTTTAAAATTTGAGACGGATCTAGAAAATGGGCAAACTTGTCATGTGAGGATTTTTGTAATAGAAAATCATAATTTAAATAAAAACATGTTTAGCTGACGTTAAAAGTTAAATAGTAATTTTCTTTAGTTACAGAACTTGTTTTAGTTTTCCATCGCTGCTAATCTGAATATTAATTTTTTTAGCGTGCTGTGATGCTCCTGAATTGTTTAAAATGTGGCATAAATATGTGCTAAATTTGACAAAACCTATCAGATTTTGTATTTCTAAACTTTAAATGTTTTTTTTTTTTGTAGTAGGGGTTTGGTATTTAGCTTATAATTAGCTTTATATAAGAACTAGAAGTCTAAAGTGTGTCATCTGCAGTGCTGCGTAAATTACTTCCATAACCGTAATCGTACATTAAAACCTAATCATGTAATCCACAAAAAAGTAACTGTAATCTGATTATGAGCATTTTAAAATGTAATATACTCTAATTACAAGAGCTACATTTATTATGTTATCCAGATTACATGTAATCAGTTACTACCCAGCACTGGTCGTCTGTTAGTTAAGTAGACCTCAGTATAGTCAAAGAAAATAATATCATCTATAGCTGCGTCCCAAATGATGCTCTATACACTATGCACTTATACGTTATGTACTTATGCACTTTGCACTCAACCATGTAGTGTATGAATTATGTAAAGATTATTTTGTTCTTCATCATCGAAGTCTGATAGCCCCTCCCCCTCCGCTATGTAATTAAAGCTGCCACAGTTGAGTGCATGAAGTGTCCAACATTCCACACTTTATTTTTTCTTTTTGTAATTTTCAGTGTGAATGCATTACTCGAACTATTTATATTCTAAAACGTCTGTAACTGTCATTGTCTTTGCACTGAACTAGCTGCACACGTCTACAAACCAACCCCCATACGCTCACCATGGTAACCATGGTGTCCGCCAAAATAGTTACTACCGGTATTGTTGCCACTTAAAACCCAACATAAATGACATTTTTATGAATCATTTCTGTTTTTGAGCTTCAGCTAGTAGCTGTGCTTTTGAACATGGTAGCTGGTTTCTAAATGGTCTAAGCTGGTCATTAGCTTATGAAAGCTGGATATTAACTGGTTGGTTGACCAGTCACAGTTTTACAAACATCTTAACCACTTTAAATTGTAGCTTGTTTGCTACTGGTCCAAGATGATTTACCGGCCTGAAACAGCTAGAAATTGGCTTTCATGTTCCAAAACAGCTAGTTTTTCCAGTGGATTCAGTGCAGTGTTGTGTTAGTATAATTAATACACTTTTTGAATAATTTATAGTTATAGTTTAACTATACTTTTTAAAATATTTTGAATAAATTTTTATTTGTAAACATTTTTGTAATTTTTAAAGTTTTAGTCATTTTTAAAGTTTCTGTTGTGTTTGTCATTTTTAATTTATATATATTTATATATATACAGTATATATATATATATATATATATATATATATATAATTTGTGTGTGTATGTGTTACAATATAACTAACAAGGTCATATTCAGAAGACAATGAAACCGAAACCAAATAGCGTTGAAACAGGAAGTGAAGTAAACAGAAGAGAATGACA